AGCATACACCTAATTCACCTGCCTCATGAGGCAGTAAAGATTTATGGCCTGTCTCCACAGTGCAGAGCAACTCTAGCTTCTCAGAAAGTTGGTAGGAGCGGAGGATGCACAGGGACTGGCAGGTGATCAGCATTTATAAGGAAAAAGGGTTTTTTTGCATTTTTTTTCTTCTGGCTTTTTTTAACTGCATTAAAACTTGTGGCACTCTGCGTTACATTTCTATATGCCTTCAGGTTGTCAGCCAGGCAAAACTATTTTTTTTTCTTTTTTTTTTTTTGGTGCATATATCACCATCACAAGTAGTGTGTAGACACAAGTTACAATTACAGGCTGTAGCCTTAAGTAAGATGAAGTGATTTTTTCTGTTGCAAAGATTTCAGGATGTTAAGATGTGAATTGACTGTAATTATCATCTTTAGTGATTCTTACAAAGTGCTAGCCGAGGATGTCAAGTTCAGATGTCRGATCACATTTAGATGCTACGATGTCCCTGACTTGGTAACTGTACTTGGAAGTCTGTCCCTTTCCTACAATGGCTTTCCCTTGAGCAGGATTGGATCAAAGTACATTAGCACTTCCTGCCYAAAACACCAGCCTATGTAGTTATGTGACTCTGTATCAGAATCTAACCTTTAATTAAAAAGAACTAAGTCACTTGTGGTTACATAAAACAGAAAGCCAAAACTTTGAAGCAGATATACCAACAAATAAATCGGGAATGGACTGGATTTGAAAGCAAACTGGAAGCACAGTGGCCTCAGGCAGGCCGGGCTCCCTTTTCCTGCCGCTGGACTGTTACCCTCGGGATCCACTCCTGGGAGGGCACCTGCACTGCGAGCCTTGAGCGTGCCAGGAGCCATGGAGGGTCGGCTGCCACCTCCGCCTGCTCGCTCAGCGGCAAGGCGGGAGCCGAACCCCTTGTCCCGGCCACTGGTGCCCTCGCACAGCCCCTCCGCCCCCGAGGGGGCTTCCGCACTGCTCTCGGTCGCCGCGGGCAGACCCCGTGCGCGAGGGCAGCGGGGCTAAACCCGCTGCGGCGGCGCTGAGGCGGGAGCGCGCGCGGCCGGGGCCGCGGGGCGCGCAGCGCGGGGCGCAGCGCGGGGCTGCCCGGGGGGGCGCAGCGCGGGGCGCGCAGTGCGGAACTGCCCGGGGGGCGCAGTGCAGAGCTGCCCGGGGGGCGCAGCACGGGGCGCGCAGTGCGGAGCTGCCCGGGGGGTGCAGCGCGGGGCGCGCAGTGCCGCCCAGGGGTGCAGCGCGGGGCGCAGCGCGGGTCCGCCCGGGGCGCGCAGCGCGGGGCTGCCCGGGGCGCGCAGCGCGGAGCGCGCAGCGCGGGGCGCAGCGGCGCCCCCTGGCGGCGGCGCGGGGCGGCGCAGGCAGCTGCCGCCGGCGCTGCGGTTGTCACATGTCGGAAAGTCCCAAGCGCGGAGGGTGGAAATCCCCGGTGGGGTTTTTTTTGCCTGGGCACTAAAACAGAAAGGGAAAAAACAAGAGGCTCGGCGCAGCCGCTCATTCCGCAGCCGAGGCAGCGGCGGCAGCAGCTCCGGCGGGGAGGGGGCGGCCCAGGCGAGCCCGGCCCGACGCCACGAGTGACCGCGGCGGCAGCAGCAGCGCAGGCTCCGCGGGGTTCATGGCCCCCGCGCTCGGGCGCGCCAGCCCGCGGCTCAGCAGCACCTAGGAACGCAGCGCAGCGCAGCGCGCGCCGGCCCCGGCATCGCGCCCGCCGAGAGGTAACGTGGCCGCGAGCAGCGCCGGCGCGACTGCCCCGACGGCGCGAGCGGCCGCATTTGGGGCCAGGGACCGGGGCCGCCCGGCAGCGGCACCACCGCGCGCGGGGCCGCGTTTTCCAGCGCCTTTGCTCGGGACCCGTCGGCGGGCGACGAAATTGTGCCCTCTGTTGACTAGCGGCGCCGTGCGTGGGCTTGCTCGGAGCTCGTGGCACCGGCGGGCGCCGCGCGGGCTGCCCCGCGCCCGCGGGTCACAGCGGCGCCCGGGCCGGGCGTTATTATTAGCGTTCCTGCTGCGCGTGTGTTTGCTTTTGGCACTTGCCAGGAAAGCTGTCTGCGCGCAGCTCGGCATGCAAAATCTGCCAATAATTAGTTATTAGTTCATACAGTAATTTGCAACTTAGGCACGGTGTATACGTGCTTCCAGCAGACCGGTACGTTATGTAGTTAAGTTGTATAAAGTAGTCCTGTGGTTCATAAAACATCCAGAAATCCCAATTTTGTTTTACTGCTTGGTTAAATGCCGATAATTTTGCTGTGCAAAACACCTGTGAGTAGAAATCAGTGGAAGCTAAAGACTCTTGCAGTTAAAATGTATTAAGCGTGTTCTTAGAGTTTGATATCAGATCGTCACCAAAAAGGCTTTGTTAGATCCGTTTTTCAGAGAGAAGACAGAGAATTAAAGCAATTTAAGCAAGTCACCGGCAGAGCTCAGAACGGAATATGGATTTTCCCAAATGGCCCAAATTTGTGTTTTTTTCCAACTTCCTGTGTACTACATGTTGGGAAAAGATGCTACATAGAGAAGCTCTGTGATTAATCTGTGATTACTGCATCTTTCTGAGAATTCATAGCAGTTACATGTTAAAGCAATTAAGCAGTTTTGTAAAATGTAGTGCAGTATGAAGTAATATGMCTGTAGCTGAGTTGYTWGTTCTTTGAGTCTTAGKGTCTACTAAGCTCTSTTTGCTTCATCACATACCTTTTAAAATAATGGTATCTAGTATTTTTCTTAGCTTGATATTTAACCATTGTGTAAATGGCACTGTCAGTACTTTATATGTGGTGCAGACAAAATATACCTATAGAATATAATAAAGAATAATATAGTCTCAGCAAATGCTTAAATAATAGAAAGTGCTGAGCTTACAGAATATTGGAAACAGTCCTTTCAGGGGTCCATACCAATGGTACTTAATCTTCATTCATGTAAAAAATTCCCCCTGACTGAATGYTTGTGCTCATGTAATTAAGAAATTCAGCGTTCTGGTGTGTGCAAAGTACAGTCATGGTTATTAAATAGATCAATATGTGCTTGCTTATATTTCATGTCTTAAACYATCCATACAATTACATACAGGATTGCATCAGTGATATGCAAAACTAGATTTTGAGGCGGAGGAGTAGAAATAGATGAGAAAATGAATTTATTCCATTTTAGGGCTGAGTTCTTCCCAGGGGATGTGTTTAGAACAGGTGGTCTTTACTAACTAGAGGAAAGTTTTTCCATGTGTCCCAGCTCTGATGGCTAGGAACGCTGTAGAGGAAATTGTGTGTGAATTACATTGCCCAGGGCCGGGCACAGTGGACTGTACTGCCTTTGCCGCATCCCATGCTTCATGTGCCTCTATTCAGGGGTTTATAGGATGTACATTGACTCTTTAAGTCAGTTGGTTCTGGCAGAGGCGGGAAGAGTCTGAGGTCTCCTCTTATCAGGAGCATAAGCGCAAGAGCAAAGTCCTTTCCAGGGCTCCAGCTGCAGGTGGATTTTGCCAGTGGAAGTGGCACGGGTGAAGAGAAGAGAGAAGTTAGTTCCCTGTGTGGAGGGAGATGCTTGTGTCTTTCACCTTGGCAGGCTCAGGAGCACCTTCCCAGGCAGTCTGGCAGGTTATCATTCATCTTCTTCTCTCCAGCCCTCCCGACTTCCATGTCCGCAAGGCAACTTCCTAACAGCTTCACTGCTCATTTCTCTGTTGTTTCTGATCTTCAGTGCTCATTTCTCTGTTGTTTCTGGTCTTCGTCAACTTAATATGATATATATCAAGACTAGCTGGCTTGATAGCAATCTCTGTTATATTTTACGTGGTTCCTAATCAAAATGGTAGACACTCCTAATTAGACTAGCTTGATTCTAAATTTTAGATAYACATATATTTATTTTCTTAAAAGAAAGTTTGCATTTTTTAACAGAGTAGTAATGCGCAGGGTAGCATGGAGAGTCTTCCCATGTAAAAATACATTTTTGGAGTTATTACTGTTGTGCCCAGGACTCTCGAGGGACATTCATAGTCCCTACATTTGGCTCTAGCAAGCCACAACATTATGTGCTCTATGCAAGTATTTCAGAGGGTGTAGATAGTTTCAGATTACCTTTTGTTGTTGCTGTTCCTGCTGTGGCCAATGGGGCCAGAAGTACTCAAGAAAAGGATGTTGGCCAGCATGTATTACTGGTCCTACCGCGGAAAAATATTGGGGTTTTTGAGCCAAATGGAAATGCCTTTTCAGCTCTTCAGACTTACCGCTGAGTAATAGCGGGACTGCCGTTTGCACCCCCACAAACTGCTCGGCACCTCTGTGCCGCAGGTAAAATGTTCACATACTATAAGGAGCCCTGAGAGGAGCAGCATAAATCTGGCCGTCAGTGCTTAGTCTCTTGCAAACTGCTCATCTGCCCTCTTCAACCACCGTAAGTATGGGGCAGATCTTAGCATGGCGTATAATTCTTCAGGCTGTTTCTTTTTGTACGGGGCTATACCAAGCATCACTTCTCAGTATCTATGGGCTGTGGAGATCTGAATTGGTCATTATCTGCTTTTTTTGGCATATCATCAAAACAAAAGCTTGAAACATGCTGAAAGTTCAGCAGGTTCATAGGGGGGGATTACACTGTGCAATTATCAATTAGTCAAGTCTCCAAGATAATTTTTCATTCCCTTGATCTTTCCTTCTTTTATCCTTACTTTGATGCAGAGTCCCGTTTTTAAGAGCGACACAATTTCCTTGGTTCTTGATTTCTTGGTTCCTTGGTTAAAGAGAATAAATTCTCTTTAATATCAGAGTAAATGATCAAAGCAAATGATCAGGGTTATCTGTTCCGAGTCTATATCTGAGTAATGCAGAGTGATTTCTGGATATAAGCTCCAAGTGGACTGAGGCCACTCCGTACACTTTGTAGCCAAAACTGCAATGAGAAAGTATTTATTTTATTTTTTTGCAGAAGTGATAGCACTCTGATCATGACAGATGAAGTGTCAATAAGAAAAAACATTTTTTCTTCATTTCAGATTTCTTCTGGGAACATGGCTGGCCAGCACATTCTTCCTCAAGCTTTATATCATAGCAATATGCTGAAAGCTGTGAAGATTAGAGAGAGAGCACCTGAAGATCTGGTCAAATCCACCAATGGAATAATTCACCACTTTAGAACTATGCACAAATACACCATAGAAATGTTCAGAATGTGCCAGTTTTGTCCACAGTTTCGGGAATTACTTCAGAAGGCCCTGACTGACCAGGCCACCCAGACTTCACTGGAGCGCCAGAGGAAACTGAACTGGTGCATGGAAGTCAGGAAACTTGTGCCTTTGAAGACTAATGGTAAGTTAAGATCTGGCCTTTGAACTGGCATTAAAAAGGCCAGTAAGAATGTACCACCTTTATTAATAGTGTCTGAGTTTACATTACTGAAACAGAAGCACATTGCTTTTTTAAAAAAAGTGCCTTTACATTTAGACTTAGTGATCTTAAAGTCTTTCCACAGGGCATATTGTCATGAGTCTGTGGCAGTCCCCCCCATTTATCACAGTATTATGAATAGCCTGAAAATTAAAGAGATGTTTTAATAATATTAGGAACCTGTGGCATGTCAGCRTATATCATGTGAGAACATTGTCTTACAATCCATCACCTTCCCATGAATCTGACGCCGTTATGTGTCGACTGCCTCTTTGAAAGTGCTGAATGGCCCCTGAGGTCGGGCAAGAGGACATCTCAGATGCCTTGAGTGACAGGGATATATTCCCTTGTACCTAGAGAAGTCAATACCTGGTTATAACTCCTGCCTTTATAGCTATCCAGTGAGGTTTATCTGTCATCCTAGCTGGAGCCACCATGTCAGCAGGAGTGTCTTGAGCTTACAGCCTCGAGGAGACTGACCTTGCTGACAGGCATCAGCACCCGCACCATCAGGCCAACTAGTGCTTAATTAGCTGATAGGCTTAGCAGGCTTTGCCTTCCCTGAGGGCTCAGCCCTAATTCCAGTGTGTGCAAATGACAACCACATTTATGTAACAAGAAGGGTTGCAGTGCCCTTTGCTTTCGAGGGCCAGTAGAGTTTTAGGACTTTCCTTCAGGGTTACTTAGTTATTGGGTGTTTTGTCAGGTACCTTGAACAGCTACACCAAAAGGGTACGGCTGTAGTACAAAAACGTCTTGAAGAGGATACATGTAGGCATGAACTCTTCTGGTTTTAGAAATACCAGGAGAGATGACCCCTTACAGTATGTTCTTTGGATATGTTCTTCTCTTAGATGTTTATATACATGTTGCCTTTGACTTCCTAGACCACATTCCACATTCCTCCCTTCCCAAACTCTACTATATTTCTTAGTCTGATTGCACACAATTGTGTTTTAGAGAAAACACAACTTTCTGTAACACAGTTTTAATAGGTCTATTAAAAAATAGACCCACCTTATAGGCRGGTCTGGCACAGCCTTGAAGAACTCCATCCAAATCTGTATCTCTATAATTGTCATGGAGGCACTAACCTGTTAGTGGGCTTTTCTGCCCCTCCACTTGCCTAAAATTCTCAAAATTTTAATTTGTGCAAATACTGCATAATCTAGATCTTCTAGAAGGACTGGAGTTGCAGCCAGGGCAGGCAGTACTTTATAGATGCTTTACAGAAGTGACATCAATCTGGGCTGATGTCATTCCAGTGACTACATTCTAACAGATTTACTAGGCAAATGGGCAATGTTTGTAATTTTTACCCTGAGCAAAGAGCAACAATTTTGGAATCCCAGAATTAATGTCCGTCTGTGTTCTGCAGGGATTAGTATTGCTTGAACAGGCCCTTATTGGTGGTGACACAATATTCAGTGAATATGATCCAGCGTATTGCTTCACAGCTGTAGAACAGTGTTTACAAATGGGAGGAGCCTATGGATTGATGTCCTGGATACCTTCCATGAGTAGGTGTCCCGATATATATGATGCTGAAATATTCAAGTGGTTTAGGGAACACAAGCAAGGGGTTGGTTTGTGTCTCTGTCTCCTCCCTACAACCCCACTCCACAGTGATGAACTTGGCTTCAGTTCAGTGTACAGGGTCATTAAGTTCATATATAGAGGGGTGGCTTTGGGAATCTATGGTTAATGCAAATTAGTCACAACTCAGGACCTTTGAAGGGACGAGAAGCTAAACTGTGGACTAAAGGAAAGGGCCACTGAGAGCAGGGATAGAAGCCTATAGAAAACATGTAATATCCCAGGAAGTATTCCTGGGATCATGGAATGGACATGTAATATCCCAGGAGTATTATTTACATCAGTGGAAAGGATGCTTTTTTTACCCCTCATATGGAATAAAGAATATTTTTAAAAGTGCTTGCCTGGTTAACCTGGCTGGTAAATGTGGGAGGAATATATTTATCTTTTTTAGTCAAAGATGGGCTTTCTCCAGAAATGTCTGTCTTTTCCCAATGAAGGGTTCAGTCTTTGAAAATTTAAAAAGCTTATTATATCCTAAAACTGCATTAGCATTTTATTAATGTGGATTTTACCTAACCTGAGCATGAATTTACAGAGTTGTTGCGCATGTAGAAAAAAAAAAAAGCCACCGTGAATGACCACATATTTATTTGCAGACATGTGAATGGAGGATAGGAGGAAGGAAGTAGGTGTATAAAAATTGAAACTGCGCTTAGAAAAGAAAAAAATCAAAAAATTCCAGCATCTATTGGTTGTAGAGATTTCACTTGTATAATGAATAGGTGCTCATTCCAGCTCGCCCAGCCACACCCCCCGGGAAAGTCCGCCGGAGCCTGCACCCTTGAGCTGCGCGCAGGGCAGAACAAAAAGTCCAACTGTTGCTCAACTGCTAGTCAAACAGCGCTGGGGAATTCCGGCTGCTGTGTAAGGAATTTTGCGCAGTGCTTCTCAATAAAGAACTGAAAGTAAGCTCTGAAAGAAAAGAAGAATCTTATCTGTGCTCTAGATTTTGCAAAGGGAAAACTCTAATGGGATTAATATGTCATCCTTCTTGGTCAGAAGGAAACCCAGTCAGTTTTTCTGTGTTATGTGCGATTCCCTGATTCTGAGCTCAAGTATGCAGTTTGCAGATGTGAAGTAAGCTGTGCAAGACAAGAATCAGAAACCGAAAGGCAACTGCAGAAACCTGATATGTAACAATTCAGAAAATGTTAAGTGGACTTCCAGTGATTTTCCTTTCAGGATGTGGGAGCTGTTACAGATTTTCCCCTGCMGTTTCATACAAAAAGACAGCAAAAGTACGCTAGTGGTGTCCTTGAGGTCCTAATGCGTGTAGCAAGCTAACATTTTAACTCTTTGTGGGTGAAACAGCTTTGAAAGTTATTCACATGAGCAACTTTGCTGTGGCTGAGGTCCTCTATTTTGAGGAAATTTTTGTGGTGTTTTAACAACTGGAGGATCTGTGTACTACTTTATTAAACAGTAGACCTATTTTTGATCTGAGGATCCAACAGTAGAGATTCTTGATGTCACTCTTTCAGAAGTTTTTTGATGAAGATGGGTAGAGGTAGCATTTGAGACCCAGCCTTTGGCATATTTTGTCACACCTCTCAGTCAAGTTAGTTAGCTACTTTGATTCTCTGTTTCCTCATTTGTGAAATTGCAGACCATTTCTTTCCTGTCTTCCCATGAAGTATGGAGGACTTTTTGAATGGAAGGAGTTGTCTCACTGGAAAGCAAATCATTATACTAGTGATTTAAATAATTTTAATTTTGTCTTTTTAAAAAAAACCCTCTTTATTTTCAACAGCAAGCACACAGCCCATGTTCTGAGAGGAAGGGAAGATAGGCTCCTGCAATTACTTTACACACCTCACTCGTCCTTCCCTTTCTGTCCATTTTGTTTTGTTTTGTTATAACTCTTACATCTAGTACACCAACTGCCACACTCTAAAATAGAGTACTCATTAGGGGACATGAGGCTCACTGTTACTGTAGTATATCTTCAGTCAGCATTTTTCATTATGTCTTACTAAATGTACACCTGATGGCACAGCGTAATTTCCCTTATTTATTCATTCTCTCTTAGTTTGAAAATATTTTTGTCATGCTAACTCAGTTGTGTTTGCTACTTGCAGTGGATTGCAAAATTTAGTTCATGATATCAGTCAAAGTTAAAAAAGAGACAAAGAGCAGGCTTCCCACCACTGTTGATCAGCAGCTTAATGTTGTTCTCACTGCTGAAGGGATAACAGTAGAGAGGTGACCAACTTGCTTTCTTCCTCTGTGTAAAGAGCTCATAGCTGTGATCTTCTTGTTAAAAACCTGCCTGCGGAAGCCTTGGAGAGAAATCCATGTGAGATATAAGTGCTGTGCAGCGATACATCCTGTGTCTTTGTTTTGTTTTGTTCTGAAGTAAGCTTTTAAAACAATGCCCTCTTTCTTTTGCAGGTGATGGAAACTGCCTCATGCATGCTGCATCCCAGTACATGTGGGGTATTGAAGATATTGACCTTATCCTAAGGAAAACATTGTTCAGCACACTCAGGGAGATAGATACACGGAACTTCAAGCTCCGCTGGCAGAGAGAGGCACTTAAATCCCAGGATTTTGTAGAAACAGGACTCCACTATGACACCCGAGTAAGTTGGCTTAAGGGAATCACGCTGTTTCCTTGTCATCATCCATATTTGCCTTGATGACTTATGTTTTATTTTCGTTTCATTGGTTCGATTCTTAGTGGAGAGCAGAAACACTGTCCCTTTGAAGGGAAAGAGAAAATGTACATTCTTTGAGCACTGCTGCGCTGCAGTTGGTTGGTCTCCCTGTCTTAGAGCTACTTCTGACAGATATTGATTCTTTTCTCAGAACTGGGAGGAGGAGTGGGAATATCTCATTGAAATGACATCTCCAGAAACATCTGCTGCTCGAAACAGGCTTCCCTATAATGCACTGGAAGAAATCCACATCTTCGTTCTGGCTAACATCCTCAGAAGACCCATCATTGTCCTTGCTGGTGAGTTGTCCAGCTTGTCATCTCACATTGAAGACAGTATGCTGTAGTAGTCCTTTTCTTTGGTTGTTACTGCTTCCAGGTATTTCAGAATTGTGAGCTTTCTGCAAYTGTTGTAAAATACAAGAATCTTGATGCTTTCGCTTCCCGTGGCACATATGAATTTGCTTTTAACTGTTTTTTACTTACTTTTGCAGATAAAGTGGTGAGAAGTTTAGAGTCTGGCTCTAGCTTTGCTCCTCTGAACATTGGTGGGATTTACTTGCCTCTCCTTTGGCCAGCTGAAGAATGTTACAGATTTCCAATTGTGCTTGGCTATGACAATATGCATTTTACACCACTAGTGACTCTGAAGGACAGCGGACCAGGTATCTTTGGAGTACCTTGTGTGGGGATTTGTGTATCTTTTTTAGTACCTATGTGCAGATAAAGCATTTGAAGTATAGTCTGGGTTTGATTTGCATTTTAAACTTAAAATAAATATAAGATTCCTTCCGAATCTGTTCTCAATATATTAACCCTTTTTGTTTTCACACAGAAATCCGGGCTATCCCTTTGGTCACCAGCGAACGAGGCAGATTTGAGGACATGAATGTGCACTTTCTGACAGATGCAGAGGAGAGGGAAAAAGAGAAGCTGCTAAAAGACTACCTGATAGTAATAGAAATTCCAGTTCAAGGCTGGGATCATGGTACAACTCATCTAATTAATGCTGCAAAGTGAGTGTCACTCTTCTTTCCTTAAAGTTACACTACTTATAATGGTGATTGAAGTCTTTCCATCTTTCCATTCACATTAGTGCACATGGTTATCATCCATGCTGTGAATATTGGCATCRATATTCACATATTATTGATGTGCTTTTAAGTAGTATGAGCTTAAACCGGTCTCAAAGGTGCAGCCAAAAATATCTTCAGGTTTAGAAGAGTGRAACTAATATTTTAGAAACTAATTGATGAGTTTACTCAGAGGGAAGGCTAGAATGCATAAAAACTAGTGAGACAGAACTTTTGCACTTTATGTGAGTACAAACTGTGTGAAGTAGATTTTACATAATTCTGTCTGCATTTGGTAAAGCAGTTCAAGTATTTCCAAAATGTCAATCCTATGAAACACTGAACTGTTGCAGTGTCGCAGYAGTGTTGCAGGCAGGAAGATAGGACCTGTGGAGAAACTGGAATCTGGTTTCATCCCTCTGATAGCAAAATGCAGAGGGCATTTAGGGCACATTAGTGTCAATATTTGTCCTTTGCCTTCACAAGTGTCTGAGGAAAATGACTATCTATATTTTCTGTGTTACCACCCAGAGTATCAATACCTCTTTATTCATACCAATTTATGCTGGTTTGTCAGCCTTTAAGAAATGAAGTCCTCCAACCCAAAGGATCTGTGTGAGCATAAAGGGTGGTAGTGCATCTTCCTCCGTCATACTGAACGAGTTGGCTGTTGAGGGTATCAGTAACGCTAGCTCCTCAACCTCTGGAGCCTTCAGTAGACTTGTGATGGGGAGTTTTCCCAGGGGTCAAGGGCAGTGCAGGGATTGGATTATGGATGATAGTGCAAAAAGAACTTGACTGAAGCCACTTAATTTGTTTCAAGATGTTTGTTTTGAGCTACAGACTCAACAGGRGCAAAACCAGAAGTGGATATTGATTAAACTGCGTCAACTGTAGGAAATAGTGAGTCCACTGTAGGAAAAATTTGTTTTCAGTAGTTTTCACCAGTATGGACTGGTGAATAGAGAGGTTTTTCTACTCTGACCTCAGCCTGTCTGAGCATTGATCTACAGAGGAATTTAAGGTTTGGGGGATTTTTCTTTTTACTTCTTAGAGATTATTTATATTCTGCCTGCAAATAACTCTCGCAGATTGAAAACTCTTACCTTGAAAACCCTTTTAAGAATTCTTCTGATTAGCATTGTATCAGACCGTTTCTTTAGATGTGAAAGTCTCCGTTTGACATCACTAAACACCTGCATTTAAAATTATTTCCATTTAAAGCAACAGTTTGACATCCTGGATCTTTTAGCTGAGTAATATGGATGTGCTTTAAATCTACATTTCCTCCCCACACCGCTCAGATTTGCTTCCACCCCCACCTTCTGCCCATTTCAACCACTGACAGTCTTCCTTTTCTGCCTTTTAGGTTAGATGAAGGCAACCTCCCCAAAGAAATAAACCTGGTGGAAGATTATTTTCAGCTGGTACAGCACGAGTACAAGAAATGGCAGGAGAACAGTGAACCTGCTAGGAGAGAGGCCTGCCCCGGGAACAGACAGGAATTATCTTTCTCTCAGCTCTCCCTCTTAAAGSTGAAATGTGAAACTCCAAATTGCCCTTTCTTTATGTCTGTGAACACCCAGCCCTACTGCCATGAGTGCTTTGAGCGGAGATCACAGGGAGCTAAAGGAAGAAAGCAGATGTCCAAAACGGCGCCTGAGAAACCGAGGGCAGCTGGGTCGGGCTCCTCCCGTGGGGAAGGTTGTGAACCTGGGGGATGGATATCGGAAGAGCCCGTAACAGGGCCTCGCTCTGCACCTCCAACTGCTCCCAGCCTTTTCCTGTACAGCGAAACCACTGCCATGAAATGCAGGACTCCAGACTGCCCATTTACGCTAAATGTGCACCACAATGGACTTTGTGAACGCTGCTACACCAGGCAACTTGGTCCTCGTAATAAACTGGATGACCGAGGCCATTTAGACTATGCAACGTGCAAGGTGTGCCTTCAGAAGGCCAATAGGACCTTTAATGGCACGTGCAGCACTTGTTTCAAAAGGACTACAGAGCATTCCTCAAATGGCAGCCCTGGCTTTCTGCCCACATGTCACCAGAGGTCTACGTCTGACCCTTCCCAGATACCCCAGAGCTTCCTTCAGCATTCCTGTCATCAAGGTCCCAACAACAACTGTGAGGAGCCGTTGTTGGCAGCACTGCCCCATGCCGCACATGGCTCCGAGGAAAAGAGGGAGAGCAATCTCTGCCGGAAACCTGGCTGCAAGTTTTTTGGGACGCCGCAGAATGAGGGCTTTTGCACGCTCTGCTTCTTCGAGTACATGGAAAACCACGGTAAGCGGAGACGTTGTGAGCTTTGCTGCACTTCGACTTTGAGTAAAACTTGCTCGAAGCTATGAAGCTATGGAGCTGTACCTGCAGAGCTCGCAAGGGCAGGTGCTGATGGAAATAGTGTAGAGCAGAAGCAGCAATGTGAGGAGACTGTACCTGTACAGAGCCCTTGTTCTGTGAAGGGGCACAGAGTGACAGTGTGGTAAATCTGTGAAATGCATTGTAAAACACTGTTTTTCATGGCATCTGAACGAGGGCTATATGGGGTGAGTTTTGATCCCTCCCAGCCATCTGTTGCGATAATGTTTTGGTATGATTTTTTTCTGATTAAACTTGTTCACATCTAGACAGGTTAAAAGAATCAATGAGATGGTATTGTATGGGTGTTATTGAAAATCCTATCTGTTTATAGTGCCTTTAAAAGACAGAGAGATTAATTTGAAATCTCCATTAATTCTGGATGTATTCAGTGTAACTACATTAACTACCAATGTCACCTTGATAAACACGGCATATAGGACTGTAGGTAGCGTGGTTGTATTCTGGTGTAACTTATAATATTTTTGTTAAAATGTATCTTGATCTCTTTCATGGTATTACCATGTATATGCATGAGGGTGTGTATGAAGTCAGGACTTTGGAAAGGTAAAAGCCTGTGAATAAATCATGGCATGAAATCTTCACCTTTCTGGCCTATTATGTAGGCCAARAGCCCTTAGGAACAGAGGGTGGAAGATAAATGTACCAGAGGGCTATTGCTTAACCCATCAGACTGGTTCATTGGTGGCAACTGTACCTATACTGTGTTTTACACGTATTTCTAAATTGGGGAACTTCTCTGCTAGCTTGCAATATCTTATTTTCCAGTGTTGTTCACATTTTTTCCCCTTATTATTATGGAATATGTAAAATCATTTCATGAGACTAAAAAGCATAAGACAATTTAACCCATTAAACCATATGTCCCTCTACTTAATTTTACCCAGTGTCACTGTAACTGGGGAAGACGAAGGGGACACATCACAGTTAGCGCTCTGAAACCAGTGGCAGAATTTCTTTTGACTTTAAGGGGATCCAGTTGTMATGTTGAGGGCCAGATTTTCACAAATTACATTTTTCAAGATTCTTTTCATGGAAAAAAAAGGCTATTATCAATTACCGTTATTTATGCAGCATTACAGAAAGCGCATTGAATAAGTGAGTCTAACACCCCTCRTGAGGGCTCTGAAATTGGTGTTTGAGGCTAGTGGATTTTTTTTGTTTTTTTCTTTCATTTAAGCTAAGGATCTTGTTGTAGTTGTTTTTCAGTCAACTGGGCACATTCAAACTGTTCTCCTTACTCTGCATTACAGACAGTGCTTTACTACGGCACCAGAAGAGGTCTCAGAGGAATTCCTCGGCAGCGGCTCAGTCCGGCAGCTCCGCGGCCGCCTTCCACAACACGGTCTCCTGCCAGCGGCGAGACTGTGGCACCCTGGGGAGCACCATGCTGGAAGGCTACTGCCAGAACTGTTTCATTAAAGCCCAGAACCAGCGATTTCAGGAAGCCAGGAGGACTGAAGAACAGCTTGTGAGGCAACCACAAGTAAGTGAACTTGAGAAAATTCTCCAGTTGCTTAACACCGCCTGTTTTTTCTCTCGTGAGGACAACTCCAAATGTATCATAGACAATGCTTCAGCTGGAATTTTACCAACAACCCCAGTGGAGGAAATGGGTCCAACAGTGTGTTTGCTTGTTGGGAAGAGGTTTTCATTCCTACTTGTAGAGCTGAGCAGCTACATCAAGGAAGTCAGTCAGCTTCATTTTGCCTTCTACACTGAGCGCTTTACAGTTTTACCTTATTCCATTTTCTGTATTATTAGTTTGCTTCTCTAGAACAGAGAGTTTACAAAGAAAAAAAAATTAAGACATGACAGAATTTATGATTTTCTTTGGTAAAACCAGACTTGGGCTGTGGATTGTGCTATTTAAAAGAAGCATGTCTCAATACGGGAGGTGAAAAGACTGCCAGCTTGAATATGAGTTTTCCGCCTTGCTTTGCAAAGCAAAYTGCCAGAGCTGTTGCGCTCTTCACAATGGTGTTTGTTTTCTGTGTTTGCTGACAGCCCCTAGTGGTTACATATATAAAACACCAGCAGAGTTGAAAATAAATGAAAAGCCACTTGTGCTGCCAGCATTGCCACTGACAATGTTTTTAACATTTTTCAAGAGAACAGGACAGCGCAGAGATGCACAGCGAGCAGCAGTGACTAGCCAGAAGAGACAGTGTGGCGGGGCTTCGTGCAGAAACAACTCGGCCGGCCGGAGCGACGATTTGTGCCCGGAGTGCCGGCGCCTCAGCCAGCGGGCGCAGTCGGGGCAGCCCAGGGACTCAGCTGCGGAGGAGAGCCCCAAGCAGCGCTGCCGAGCGCCTGCGTGCGACCACTATGGCAATGCCAAGTGCAATGGTTACTGCAACGAGTGCTACCAGTTCAAGCAGATCTACGGCTAGCAGAGAAGAAGAGCTGGGAGAGAACAAGAAAATGATGCCAGCTGCTTCCATAACTGAAATGGTGCTATGTCCAAAACACTTAACAGACCTGAAAGCATGGGAGGGGGAGGGAGGCGGGTAATATAAGCTGTCTGCTCTTGTTCCTGTTTATTTCCAAGAATGGGAATAAATATCTACTTCCTATAAACACTGCATACGTGAACTGCTGAGAAGTACAGTTTGCTTTCTGCACAGAGCTGTCTTTCATGACGAGGCTCCTGTAATGCTGTATTTAATTCTTGGGCTTCCCAGGGGGAAGTTTGAAGCATTTGAATCCAAAGCACTTCTCAGTTCTGCCTCTTTCTCCATAGCCTTCCTCGTGCAAGGCAGGGAGACTCAGCTACTGCTGGAGGTCCCAGAGCCCTCTGCTTTGGCATACATCAGAGCAAGACTTTCCCCAGAGAGTTCCTCCAGGACAGGTTGATGCAGCCTGCAGTTGGAACTGGTGAGGATGTGTAAAGAAACATATTTTGGTTTGCCAGCCTCTTTGTATGTGTTCTTAACCTTACAGAGCTAGTCAAGGCTTGAGGTAGTCCGTGTTGGACAGAGTAGGGCTGCGCTTGCAGACCCTCAGCACGCTGCAGTCGGAAACAAGACCAGCAATGGTCTGTCCCTTTAACATACTTAGCCCAGTGCTTAGATCCTGTCCCAAATCTCAAGATAACTCAAAAGATAACATGATTTTAGAAGCAACCTTTACCAGTATATGTGTGATGGGAAATCTGAACCTTCCCACAGCCAACTCACATGGAAGGAAGTGCCTCCAACAGACATTTAAAAAAAAACAGAACACCACACTTATCATAGGCTTTTGTTCCAAAGCCAAAGCCACTGTCTGCTGCACTGTAGTTGTCCAAAAAACATGTGCTGCTCTCAGTTCCTCTCAATTCCAGTTCTGTTTTCTGATATCCTGACTGTGATCATACTGATGGCTTAGAGCTTGGTATTGGGGTGCTCTTCCTGGAGTTCATGCTTCCGGTTCTCATCTGCATTTCTTCCCTTAGCAGACTTGCCATCATGTACCATTGTGTCTGATATCTGCTTTTCTCATCCCCCTTTCACACTTTTAAAAAAGCTTTCAGCATCTGTTTTGCTGCTATTATTTTGGGGCTGATACCTCTTCTAATTTGCTTCTCAAGTTTAGAATCTTTTTCTAGTTATTAAAAAAGGGTTTTAAAAATAAAATAATTCATGGCTTATTTCTGTTAAATTTTATATATTTTGTGAAATTAAGTAAATGTGAAAATGTTTTAGTAAAATATTTATGTTATTTCAAACAATGCAATTTGAAATTTGCACATTTTGTTTTTTAACGTATACTTACTCTTGTGTTGAGTTTTACAAACTTAAATGTATAACTGAAAAAATAAATAAGTTATTGAAGGATTAAATTTGCTGTTTTATATTGATGATGAGAGAAAGCACATCTGAGGATTGGACATGCATTAAGGAAAGCTCTTCTGTCCAGGGTCACAATTGAGCAGGTTACAAAGAGCATATGGCCAAGCCTTTTGTGGAGGTGGCAACTTGCTGTAAGTCTCAGCATAATCCCATCTTGTGTCCGAGTTCATCAGGAAGGGATCACTACCCTGTGGGAGATCTGTGCAGTCAGGGTCCATAAGGAGTTTGCTGCGGCGAGGACAGTGGGTTTTCAGTCCCCAGAGCTATGAGTGCAGGAGGACAAGGACTGCGCAGGACCAGGCTGCAGGGGAAGCTGTGTGAGACTGGGATGACTTTGGGTTTTTTTACCCATTCATGTTGCTCACATGCCAGTTTGGGTGGCGATGGTGACTTTTGCAGCACTGTTTTCTCACCCCTCAGCCCAGGCAGCAGTACTGCACCCTGCAGGGGTTTCTGCAGGTTGCCTGTGCTATAAAGGAAAAATGATAAGGGTCTGCAAACATCCTTGCACAGTCCCAAGAGAGGATCCCCTTTCCAGGTCAGCCCTATCCTATCCCAGCCCTATCCTATCCCAGCCCTATCCCAAGCCAGGCCTTGCTGGCTGCTCAGGATTGCGATCCAACATATTTTAAGCACTTTCCCAATTTAAACTATAGGATTCAAGTTCCTAAATACTTTTTGCCTTAAGTCAGCCAGTCCCCTTTGAACTCACACAGCTCTTTAGCTACGATCCTGGATCTCAGTTTTTGTGCATACCCACTGCTCCTCGCAGTTTAGATCAACTTCCCTGGGCTTATGTATCCTGTCTTTTTGGGGTCAATGACTCATGATTAAGCTCCTTCTTCCAGAGCAATGGCTGCAAGATCTCCATGCCCCATTCCTGGAGTATAGTTGTCTTTCCAAAATCAGTTTCTCTGCTCATTTATGTCCTCCTCCCCCTTTCTTGGATCCATGCAACTCTCATGCCCTCCAGAATCATCAAACTTCTGCACCCTGCAGAAACACGGATGACCAGAGAGACGGCAAAGGCTTGGGCAGGGGCGGCGGGATGGAAATCTACTACCTGGGACTGGGAGATGGAGGCAGTATGTGGCATCCAGCCAAGGCAGCAGCCAAAACCTGCCCTTTGAAAAGGCCAAGCCTTGCCCATGGCCTGTCCTTTGCCAGGATACATAATGTGCAGCTTTCCAGGCACTCTTTGCAGCCACACTGGCAAGGGGACATGGGCATTACTGCTAGCTGCAATTTCTCCACAGTGGAAGGATTTAAGATTAAATGCCTCCAAACCCACAGATTTTCTCTGCTGCTTTTTGGGTCCATTACTCATAACTTTGAAGTCACATGAGACTTGTCTCATTCTGAAGCCCTCATGTAAATAAGTGYTCAGCCTGCCTCTTGTGATTTACTGTTGTGGGAGCATTAAAGCTAAGGGCACTTTTTCTTCAAATACTCTGGTATTTCCCTAATGTCCTTGGGGATTTTGASCCCTGATGCTTTCTGCTCTCTGCCCAAATACCTTCCCAAGTTCATGTATTTTTCCTTCCTGTTTAGCAAGAGGGAACTTTAATGGATTCTCCTTTTTGTGACCACTTATGGAAGTCTCTTTACTAAGACATAAGTCTTCTACAGACAGAGATTCTTTTCTTAGCATAAAGGCAAAAATAAAATGGGGCAATAGGCTTAATGGCTGTTCCTAGTGCACTGGGATTCCTTATAACATAGTGCAGTAAGTGACTGCTGAGCAGGCAGACTTGCACATTCATTTAATTTTGGAAAAGGATACATTACAGTAATCCCTGATTGGGGAGATAGATAACTTGAAAACTTTCAGATATATCTATGTTGGTCTGTGGATAAGAAACATCATTCTTCAGGGATATACACATTCTATTAATAGAAAACTTCTCATACAGAAAAGAATAAAATTCTTAGTAAAACTTTAGTGTGGGGAGAAATCAGATTCATCTGTTGATATCACAGTGCTCTGCTAGGCAAGTCTTTGGTGTGATATAAAGGTATTTATAGGGTATTTAACCAGAGCTGGAAGCAACACACAGCATGCAGTCTGTTAGATCAAAACCCTTAAATCAAACTACTGATCTAGGTTTATATTCCAGAAGCCCCAGGCAGAGTTCAATGTGGTTGGTGTTTTGGAGGTAAAGCAAAGAGAGAGAGCGTTCTAGCTGTTACAACCCTAGGTAGAGGCAGTTGATGTCCTACACTTGCACAGAAAGGTAAGATACCGTATTTTACAACCTGAACCATGCGCCAATCCTTTTTTCCTATACTTGTTCAGCTTCACTCCATCCCGTTTAATATTCCAACTCAGCAGAGTGGAAGAGTTGCAGCAGATGCAGAGGACCCCACAGATGTGCAATCCTGCTCTCCTGCTGCAGGCAGATCTCAGGAAGGGGCCATGCCTCTCTCAGGTATTTATCATTCAGCAGTTATTCCAGTAAGATTGTCTTATCTGATTAGCAAGCCATGGTTAGGTTCCCATGCAGCTTGGTGTTCGGAGATTCCAGATGGCCCACAAAAAACCTAGGAAAAGTAGGAATGCAATAAAACAAAAATTGTTGTCTGAGCATRTGAGTCTGTGTATGTGTATGCATGGCCTCATCCCTACTTCATATGGGCTTGATCAAATTGTAAGAGATTACCACTTTCCCAGCTGTTCATCCTCAAGGATCCTTGCACAGGACAGCTACAGGCCATCCTGATCCACATCCTATCATTACCCAGAAGTGTCTAAAGTTATCAGAAAGGAGAAAAAAATCTTTTCTGTGCAAAATCTGGGCCTAGTGTCTCAGCCAGGTAGATGGTTCCACGTGGTTCACAGCTCTTGCAGCTCTGATACTGCCACATCCCCCTGCCTGTGTCTAGATGGGGAAACTGGAGAGACCCATTCCACGGCTCTGAGCCCAATTCAGAGCGTATTGTGGTATCAAGCTCTTCTACYTCCCAAAAAAAGGGTGATTACATCCAAACTACCTATGAGGAATGGTCCTGCTCTGCCTTAACTTCTGAACAGAGTGGCAGGTTATATTGGAAAGGGAAAAGCTGGCCAGTTTAAGTCAGCTTTGGATGCAGGGGACCATTCAAGAGTTTCAATGTTCCTAAATTTTGCTTTTGCTCAAACACTTTGGTTGCAAATTAGCAATGCTCTCCTTTCAGGAGACTGCTTGATACCTGGGTGCTGGTGTTAATTCTCCTGGGAGGAAGAAATTGCAGGAGCTCAAAAGAAAATGATTACATATGCATTTTTCCTACAGTGTGGATCACAGACTTTTTGGATTATGGATCATTGTAAAACCTTAACATTTTCAGTGTTAAAATTAAGCCTTTGTGTTTATTTTCAGGTCTTGTGCCTCGCCTGATTGTGTAGAAGTTACTTCATGCTACTGATGCTACAAATGCAGTTGCATAGCTCTTTATCAAAGAATCTGCAGCACRTGTGTCTGCACAGTTGCTCACATACCTGCCTGAAACATGCTAGATATCCAGGGGATTTTACTGACAGAGGAGCTGAAGGACTTAGGCAGCGTTTGAGAGAGGCTGTG